CCCCCCCCCCCCCCCCCCAGTTCTTTTTCAAGGCTTGTAAAGATGCAGGCAGATATAACAATTAAACCATTTCAACAGCTCAGCTGTGTGCATGTACAAGCTTTTTGAGGCTTTTTAAAAGTGGCTGAAATGCTCCAACGTAGCACTTCTTTGCATGAAGTACTCTTTTGGAGCTGTACTTTGGTTATGTCTGAGTGGGGACAGGGTGGGGGAATGGCCTGCTCTCCAGTTGCTGGGTCTTGAGGCTCTGCCAGGTCTCCACTGAGACACCGCACACTCTGCTGGGACACCCACCCCTACCAGACCTGGAGCTAGGCTTAATTCCTACCCCCACTTGTCAGCCCCCTAGTGCCGTTGGAGCTGGGCCCCTTTGCCTCAGTCCCTTCCAGCTCTTTGCTTGTCCAAGAAGGTGAGAGGACTGGATCTGGAGTGTTAGACTCCTGGCAGCAGGACTGGGGAGCTGTTCTCCCCCTTCTCCCTCCCTGACTCCATCTCTTGGCTCTCCCCTCCTCTCTACTTCCATTCCCTCCCACAGGTGAGGGTGAAGGGAAGACCAGAGCTGCAGGCTGCTGCAGCCTGCTGTAGCACCTCCTGGCTGGGGCTAGTGGAGCTTGTAGTGCTTGAATTCTTTCTGCCAGGGAATGGCAGAGGGGCATTTGTTCCCTAGTTGAAACATTTCCAAGGACATTTCACTTAGAAATGTTTAAAATTTGTCTGTTTGCACCCTAATAGTAGTTTCTTTCAACATTTTGATTAGAATTTGCACACATGAAAGGAGATAACAGCCCTTTCATACTTGTTTCCCTTGTGTAGTTTCTGTGTAGGTAAGTAGGGTAGAGCTAACTTAAAGGTAGAGTTACCTTTATTATGCAATTAACCGGAGTACAGTTAGATTACAAAGTAGATTATAGGGCAGGGGTGGACAAAATATGGCCCATAGGCCGGGTCTGGCCTGCCAAGCCATTCTATCTGGCCCATGGGGCCCTTAAAAAATTTAGAAAATTAATGATCTGCCCCTGGCTGCCTGTCAAAGATAGGTGCCAGCGGCAGCAGCACCCAGGTGGAGCCGGTGGTAGGACCCAGTGGCGATGGCAGCAAGGCCCATCTGGTCCTGCTCCCCCCTCCCTCACATCCATTCCCCACACCCTCCTTCACACTCCACAGACACACAGACCCTGTACCCACCCACTCTTGCCCTCCATACTCCCCCACAATATACAAAAGTAAAACTTCATTTTAAGATATTGTGCAATCACTTCTATGTATACTACACAAATGCTTGTAAATCAGGACAACAATATTTTTTGCAATCAAGTTAATTCATGTTGTTTGATTTTTAGAATATAATTTTTTTTCTAGTTCCAAGATGGCAAACCCCCTTGCTAATAGGAGTACTGCTGGGGGCAAGGGGAGGACTTCCAGTGGCAAAGGTCAGGTGGTAGGGGGATGGGATTTTCGGTTCCAAGGTGGTGACCGGGGAGGGGGCATGGGCACGGGCACGGCACCTGTCAGGGGGTGGGGCTACCCTTGCTGCCCTCAACAACTTCTTAAGCGGCCTTCCACTCAAAATAATTGCCTGCTCCTCTTGTAGGGCATCAATATTCAGGTGACTGGAGTTTGCCACATTTTAAGCAATAGGCGACAAATTCAGACTAGCAGGACCTTATGGAGTTAAATGAATTATGCATGCAAATAGAGTATACTATACTAGTAGAAAGGAAAAAAAAAAGTACACTATTTGTGGGAACCAAAGGACTGTGGTGTCAATGTTAGCTTGAATCAGCAGCCCAAAAATGACAGTTAAGTTGGTAGTGTGAGTGTGATAGTATATCAGTGATGGTCCAGGAATTCTGTGAGAGGAAAGGAGTTTTTGGGTGATAATCCTTTAAGTCAGTGAAGTTGTCATTCCTTAATACCTTTTCTGTGATAATGTTATTTTTTTATTTTAAATCTCTGGCTTTGGATGGAAGAAACGGAGCTGGAGTGTGTTACCACTCTGAAAATTGTCTTTGTCTTTCTTCT